AGCTTTTTGCATTGTAATTAGCCCAGAGGCGCCCCCTCTAGGCTCGAATTCCTCAGGCAATTTGTCTTCGCTTTTTCTTCTCGTCTGGAGAAGCTTCGGAAGAAAATACCCGGTTCTCAGTAATAGACGGTAATTTTCATGTCACCTACGTTCAAGTACTGGTCATTTTGGCAAAAAATACTGCCATTTTCCCAGTACTTTTATTTCCTGGAGAAAATTTTAGGGTGTAGTTATTGCTGAGGGAATTTATAATCTAAATAAACGCGCAGTTTCTCATCGTTAGCATCAAGTATAAACACAATGGTTATAGTCTGTCGGTGACGCCATCATATTATTTGTGTTTCGAAGGTTTTTCTTCCTTTTTTCTTCGCGTTTTTTTCCTGCATAGAACCTCTTTCAGTCAAAAGTTCAAAATTTTCGTGGTCTTCGTCCTCACTTTTCATTTGTTTTCCTCAATAGTATTCTGAATTTCCAGCCATCTTCCCATTCAGCGTCCTTGATTCCTAAGCCAACTTCACAGGAAGTTCAGCCAGAGAATCAGCTTATATCCGGCTCAAGCTGGTAAACATCAGCTTTTCAGTGGACTGTCACTTTTTAGGTATCCATGGAGATACGTGCAAACTTAGAGCAATAGAGCGAGAATCTTTTTTTTGTTTTATTCCTTCGTTTACTTCCGATCTGCGGTTCTTCCGCCTACGTGCGATGTTGGAGGCGCTACTCATCTCCAGATCACTTCCGGTTTTGAGAGGATTCGTGGGGATGCGCTCGTCGAAAATAGGAAAAGTGGCTGTCGCAGGATTTTTTTGCTTGAAGGGGACTCCCCTCAAGGCGAAAGTGGGCGGAAAAATCGATATTTCAAAAATCAATAGTGAAAACTATTTAAAAAAAACGACCCCTCTCCTTGTTCCTAGGCTGTAGGCCACTTTTAAAAAATTTCGGACTCATTCTCGGGGGAAGGGGGGGGGAGGAGCTCAGACACCACTAGACATTAGTAATTTTGAATTCCTGTTCAGTTTACTCTCTTTTTCGTGGACTATGACTAGTGAGGTGGGCGGGGCCAGGCATCCAGGGGGATTCCGGCCGCGTTCAAACAGGTTAAAACACGGAGATCTAGGGTGATGTTGATCCGTTCTTTTTGTTTCAACACGCTTCTTTGTTTTGAAGTTGCTTTGGACTCATTGTCTAGTCCAAAGCAGGTTTGGCGCCGCCCACTTCAGTAGTCGTAGTCTGCGAAAAAGAGATTACAAAAAATGCACTAATTTTTTAACTTGCAAATTTTTCCAACAACACGCCAAATTACAGCGCCCATATTCAGCCCAAAATACAGCTATTTTGGTCCTGGTGCAGCCAAGGTGCCCAAATTTGCTGCTAAGCAACGTAGGCGAACCTCTCGCTGAGACTTCTTCTGTTCTGGCTATTCTAGTAGTTTTCTTTTCGACATTGCACACTGGCGCATCGTAGGGCGAATTTATGAATCACTGGAAAGAAGTAGGATTTTTTCAAACCGACCGAAATCGTTCTGGATACTAATATCTTAAGTTTAGTATGGGTAACTGGTCATTAATGAACGGAACTTCGGCTCTTGGGATTTGCGAAATTCCGATTTTCTTCGGTCTTCCAATTCTGGACTACCGAAACTCACACTGCAACGAAAAATGCTATATCTTATTCTAAAGCTATTTTTTATCGTTTGGTAATCGATTGTCCACCCTACTTGAAAGTCTGGGGGAGAGCTTGGGGAAAAATTTATCAAACGCCGGAAGAGAGACCATTTTTGGCATCTTTGAAGTCTGCTATGTACGTTTTCGGGTCACCATAACCAGATTTTCACCCTCAATTGCACCAAATAACTGTGGCGATTTATCGGCTTCATGGTTGATATTTCAGAGACGAAGATGGGGTACCCTTCAAACCGGGTTTCCGTTATTGCATGTCTATTTTTCACATAACCCATGTAATCGAAATGTCATGGTAGTGGAAGGTGGTGAGGGGCCGATAAATCACAGCCGAAAATGGGGTGAGACCCTGGAATTCGTCATTTTATCTAAATCCATTTGTCATTTATCGAAGAGAACACAGCAGCCTTTAGCGATTACTGTTTGACGTGTCCTATCATCGCTGCGCTACTGATAAGCAGGCGCGGTTTTCGACTAGGCAGCACCTCGTTTATGACTGCTCGTTTACTTTCTGTACTCTTTCGCCACAAGGCTTTAAATGGCTCATAAACGCCTTGTTCTGCTGCCAAAATTGACCTTTTGCACACGAAAACAAATCCATCCCAGGGCTGTAAACGATGCTGTTATGACGGCCATTTTCGCGCCTGATTTCCCTTCTAAGCTAGCTTTGAAGCCAAGATGCTGATATTGTAGATGTGAGAACTGGTCCCCAGGAGATGAGTGTGTATGGACAGAAACTTTAACTTGCATTCTACTTCCCTGGTTGCTTAAAAAAACAAAGGATTCAGCTGACCTACCCCCCCCTTCGTCCTGTGTTTGAATTCATTTTTAAGCGAATCTTCTACTTACAGCTAACCTTTCGTGGATCAGGCAGTCCGCAGACTGCAGACGACATTCTCAGTTAGACGTGAGTAAGCTAAACGGCACTGTTTACCATCGAAAGCAAAAAATTTCGGCTGGTAACCAGCACCTTCTAATATATTCTCACCAGTGGTGGTCGCAGAAAATTTTTTCA